ATACCCGCTCCCAGCCCTGCCCCCCCCAGCCCAAGCAGGCAGGTGTATTGTGCTAAGTTCAGGTTTCATGTGACAGGGCACTAGAGGTCGCAGGAAAATCGCCAGCAGGGGTCATTCGAACAAGAAATGGGGCAGGTTTTCATGATTCTTTCCCTCCCCTCCATTCATCAGAAGAAGGGGGCTGTGCCCATGAAAGCTCATCCCACCAGCTACAGGTTTGGTTAGTCTCTAAGGTGCTGCAGGGCTATTTGTTGTTGTTCAGGTTTCATGTGACAGGGCACTAGAGGTCGCAGGAAAATCGCCAGCAGGGGTCATTCGAACAAGAAATGGGGCAGGTTTTCATGATTCTTTCCCTCCCCTCCATTCATCAGAAGAAGGGGGCTGTGCCCATGAAAGCTCATCCCACCAGCTACAGGTTTGGTTAGTCTCTAAGGTGCTGCAGGGCTATTTGTTGTTTTTTTAAGTGTGTTCACTAAAGTTATTGCAATTTTATGTGTGGAATTAGGACCACACAGTCTCCCAGCTGCAATGGGTCTGATAAAAGTCTCATGCCTGAAGCCCAAATACAAATCCACAGAGCACAACCTCAAAATGCAACTATTCAGATACCTATATAAATTAATCTGTAGACACTGGCACCCCTGTCTACATGCATGTACACATTAGCACAGGGCTACTCAACTTTGGAAGCCCTGGCTGGGGGCCACAATGATAAAGCACATGCCAAGGGCTGCAACTTAAGTGTGGTTGCATATACATGCAAATATATGAAAATAGATTCTTTCGCACTGATGGGCATGAAAACAAAGATTAAGGCAAGACTACACAACACACAGGACCCATTTAAGTCAGTTCTGCTGACACTAATAAAATGTAATATTTATCCAATTTCCACCCATATGACAGCACTTGTAATGAGCAATGGCCGTGCAGGAATTTAACTACTAAAATGCATATCAACAGAAGACCATTACATTAACTATTTTTTTGGTTTGGCTCCCTGCGTGTTGAGCCCCACGTAAACCCAAACTGCACAGCAGGTCGTGTGTTGAATAGCCCTACATTAGCACATGCTACCACATGTATGTCCACGTTATTACCTGATTTAAAGGATACAGACCACAGTTAATAGTTCAGCAATTTCCCATTTGAGTTCTTTCAGAACTCTTGGGTGAATGCCGTCCGGTCCTGGTGACTTGTTACTGTTGAGTTTACAATTTCAGGGCTCAACTGGGTCCGTACAGCAGTGATGCAGCCAAGGTCATCAGGCAGCACACCAGGGACAGTATTCACCAGCTCTACCAGCTGTTGCTATGTCAGAGAGGTAAAGCCAGGTGAGAAATGGGACCCAATAGAAGACTGAGACTGATGGAAGCCGGGCAATAGGACCTCTGAATAAATCAGCTCCCTATCTTCCAGGGATGCAGCCAGAGCGCCTCCCAGGGTATGTCTATACTACATGGCTCCGTCGACAGAGCCATGTAGATTTGTTTGTTGGGCAAAGGGAAATGAAGCGGCGATTTAAATAATCGCCGCTTCATTTAAATTTACATGGCTGCCACACTGAGCTGACAAACAGCTGATCAGCTGTTTGTCGGCTCAGTGCGCTAGTCTGGACGGTCCCCTGCCGACATCAAAGCCCTTTGTC